GGCAGAGCTCATGCTGCCCACTGCCTCCTGAAAGATTTCCTCGCTGCTGACCCCGCTGACCCCGCAACCGGCACCGCCGGCAGAAACAGCGCTCCCTCCTGCCGCCGCGGGCAGCACCGCGGATGAGAAGCCGTCGGGGCTCCACACGGGCGCCTCCCTCTCGGGGGACGCCGCCGTCGGAGCAGCATGGCCGGGGGTGTTATGTCTTCCCGTGCCAGTGCCAGCGACGGCCATCAAGATCGTCCTCGCCAGCACGAGAGACCCCGGGATGCTGCTCTGCGGGTACGGCAGCTCCCCGTCGCACGTAAGGGCGATGTTGCCTAGGTCCTGCGCGACGCCCCCGGCGCCGCCGCCCCCGCCGCGCCCTGCTGCGCCCTCTTCCCCCACCCCACCAGCGCCGCCGTAGGTGCCGACCAATATATCGGAACACCAGGCGCAGATCGCCTCCGTGCGATCGGCCCCCAGCTCCGGGCCGGCGTAGTTCTCCTGCAGGAAGAGACAGAGGGCCGCCGCCCCCACCCAGGCGGCCTCAGCCGCTCGCCAGACGGCGGCGGCGGCCGAGCAGCCGCGTCGTCCGTCCCCACCGCTGCCAGCAGCAACCGTTGCCGCGGCATCGGCTTGCCGGTGTCCCTCGTCTTCCGCCAGCGGGGTGTTGCTGTGAGAGCCGCCGCCGCCGCCGCCGCCGACTACGAACGCCCTGACGCGCGCGTCGATGCTGCGGCTGCCGCCGCCGCCGTCGCTAGTGCAGCCATCTGCCGAGAACAAAGCCGTCTCCCGCAGGAGGTCTTCGTACTCTCCGCGGCACAGGCGGAGGGCCGCCCGGCACGCGTCGAGCGCCGCTCTCGCCACCGCCGGGGGCATCGCCGACACGCATACCCGTGCGGCTGCTTTGTCATCCTTCGTAGCACAAACAGCAGCCGTTTCAGCAGACCCTTCTCCCGCATGGCCATCAGAAGCATCGACACGGACGTGCGAGGAGAGAGCGGCAACGGCGGTTTCGACCTCGGCGGGGCGCGACTCGAGGCAGCAACGTTCCACCCGTCGGAGGAGTGGGAGATTCGCCGATGCAGCGGCGGCGGCCGCGCTCGCGCCTTCTTCGGCGTGCTCCGGGAGGGGCGCGCCTCTCACGGCGTCCACCACCGCTTCTTCTTTGCTCTCGCCAGCCGAGGGGAAGCGGAAACCGCCGTCGATGATTGGTCCATCGCCGAGGGGGGTGCTGTGTCTGGGCTGCCGGAGTAAAAAAAAAAAAATGAAAATAGGGTATGGAGATCGAGAGGGTGACGTGAGGGTTCACGGGGATATCTTCAATGTGCACCCATGCCAACGAACGAGCCGCAAACTCTGGGAACATGTTTTTATTGGTGGAACGCGACGTATGCCGCTGCAGTGTGTGAGACTGCAGAAACAACGTCTGTGCTCGTAGCGTGCGGCGGAACTCCAAGGGGTTCACTGCTATAATGTGACTCATCCTCTTCCAGGTATGTTTGTTGTGCGCTGGCACTGGCAGCAGCGCCCTCTTTAGGACGAGGTTGTGGCAGCTGCTCTGCCGCACACCTCTTGTCACCTGCTGCTGGTCTCCGCCGTAAACATGGGACTTCTTCCCCTCTCTCTCTGAAAGTTTTTCATGCGGTTGGACCCTTCCGTCCCTGTCTAATCTCCCGGACCCCGTAGGATTAGACAGGGATCGAAGGGTCCAACCGCAAGAAAAACTTTCAGAGAGAGAGGGGAAGAAGTCCCATGTTTACGGCGGACACCAGCAGCAGGTGACAACAGGTGCGCAGCAGAGCAGCTGCCACAACCGCGTCTGTAGAGGGCACTGCTGCCAGTACAGTACCAGCATCAGCGGCAGCTAGTGCACAACGAACGCCCTCCCGCTGTTCCTCCCCCCCATGCGGAGCAGCCTACTGCTACTGCAGCAGCACGTCCTTCTGTGCCCACTGGCCCAACAGACCTCGGCAGGAATGCCGTCTGGCCTCAGCCCCGAACCCCTCTCCCAAAGGAGTTACTAGCGGTGGCTGTTCCCACGTGCACCCGAAGTGGGCATCTTGGGCACCTCGCTTACATCTGCACGGCGCCGACTCGCTATCACCGAACATGCCACTGCTGCGGAGAGGAAGGTAATGTCCGTCAGAATTGCAGGTTCAACAGCAGCAGCAGCAGCAGCAGCAACAGCCTCCACACCAGCAGCCTCATCAGCGGTATCATGAACAGCAGACCATGTCGATGAGATCCGTCCTGCTGCCCCATGTACAATGGTTGGGGTAGGTTTCCAAACCTCCGCCACACAGCACAACCTTAACCTTGCACTTCCTCCGCGACGACCGACGACTTAAACTTGATGTAATCTACCACACCAATCAGCTGGGTCCGCTCGACGAAGCTAGAACAACATTTTCACACAACTCCAATCTTTGCAAGCAGACAAGTAGCTACTGCACATCGCCAGCACCGTCCACGTGCTGTACAGTAGACACTTATGCGCACACTTGCAGGCTACTCACATTGATCATTATAGATGCCGACGAGCCTGTGGGCAGTACAGCCGGCTCTTCTCAGTAGAATCACTTGCCGGAGAGGCGACACCAACAACTGGATTCTGCCTGTGATGTGGAACCTTACACCGCTGGACTAACAGCCAAACAGCGTTGGCGTACGCAGGATGTAGTAGTCTACTGTAAAGTCTGGTTGGTCGAGGGTTTTTGCACTACAACAGATGTGGTGTGTGCAGCACACGTGCACTACACATACCTTCAACATGGTGGTCGCCGTCGATGATGCCAAGCCAGTGGGCGCTGCAGCCACACCATTCTCAGTTGGACCACTCGTTGGAGAGGCAGGGTCGACGGGACTGTCGGGAGTGGTGCCATTGGGGACTTGCTCATCGTCGCTGTCGCTTCTTGCCGCAAAGTCGACACCCTCGAAATCTCCCGCACCAAGCCCCAGGAGCTCCTCCATGTTCGCGTTGTCGTCTCTCTATCTGACACGCGCTTGCCTAACTGGCAATGCTGCTCCTGTTGGCGTTGGCGGCGGACGGATACGAATACAGCAGAGTTCGGGATACTGCCCCGGTGCTCTCCTTCGCGTACCCCCGCCCTTTCGCTCGGATGGATTGGCGGGCAGCAGGTCATTCTTCACTCGGCCCGTTCTGCCTGCCACCCCGCCCCTCGCTTATTAACCGCGTGGACCTACGCACGAATATTGACCGCGGCAGGATGGAAGGTAAGCAGTTTGGTGAGTGGTGCCTGCCTTTGACTCCACCTGCTATGACGGTGTATACCAGAGCCCCCCTTAGGCCGATGTTCAAGCTCGGTTCCGTATTTATTTGTTTATTTTTGCCTTCCGACAATTGCAGCTGTGCCTCAGAAAACTTTCACTTAATGTCTCATACTCTACATGAATATTAAACCAATACGAAGTACAACAACATATGTAGGACTAATTTCTACTGTCACTTACATCGTAAAAATATCTCCTCTTCAATTTGAAATAAAACCAATGACAATCCTCATGGTATCCTACATGCGTTCGAATGCTTGCTAAAACACTACTCCGTTGATGTCCTCTTGCAAAAGCTGAAATCCAGCAAATGCTTTGATCCATGCTACATCTCCGTGTTGGAAAAGCCCTTTCTTCTCCGTTCATGATAACATCTTACCCTATTGTACGCAAATCTGCCACATCTACTCCCAAACAAGACGCCAACTTCAAACGAAAACGCGTTCTACGATGCGTCTACACTCCATCCTCATATGTATATACTTACTTATTTTTTTTCATCCCCATATCATTGGCGTTGACTGGTTCGAGGTCGATCTTGTTCGCCTGTTTTCGGCGTCGTGACGCCCGCGCAATGCGAGCTTGTACCTCTGCACTCGCCGAGATATGGCCACCTGTGTAGCCACCGAAACGATCTGAAGAAGTCGTTCCTTGAAGACTCCTTTCAGAGCCATCGTTCCTCCGTCCCTTCCTCCCACGGCACGTGTCGCAAGTTCATCGATGAACTCGTAACCCTCCTCTCCAAGGCGTCCAAAGCTTTCCACGGCTAAGGTGTTCCGTATTCATAGACTACGCATACAAGTTGAGTGATTCAACCCCTTTTAGGTCTAGCTCTTTTTTTTTTCAGCAATAAAAATAGGGAGGAGGAGAGAATGCGGAAGAGAGAAACAGAAGTACAGCAGAAAGAGACGTGTATACTTCTGTAGACGCAACAGCTATATCCACTCATTGGCTATGAGGGCTGCCTACGACAGGGCGGTGGGCACATACAGGGTCATAGAAGGGTTGATGTGTGGTAGCGGTGCGGCCGCAAGGGCAGGTTAGGCTTGTAGACCTCGAAAAGATCAGTCGCCAAGCAGCCTAAACTGCTCTATGTTCAGTATCGATTCAAATGATTAGTGAAAATGATCAGTGAGAGTGCTTGGAGACCACTAGTATAGCTGGTTCTTGTACTTCTATACTTCTCTGTCCCCTCCCCAATGTAAGCCCTGCCGGCTCACTACAGCTCCTGTGATTTCCCACAATTCCCACAAGCACGCAGACACACCACAGCACACACACCTACCCTTGCATCAGTGGCTCACTAGGTTCGGGCGAGGGTTTGTGTAGGGCTATGATGATAGTAGTGTATACGTTACTATTACTGTATGTTAGACTCGTCTATACTGCTGCTGCTGTATAGCTAGTGGCTGCTGACACGATGACTGCTGGATCTTGGGAGTGTACGATTTTCAAATTTGGAGGATTTATATGCAGCATACCACGATCATATCCTAGCCTGGTTGGGCTTGAAGTGCCCCTTTTCGCTGTCATCCTGTCTTTCTTGAGTGGCTTCCTAGATTCGGGCGAGGGCATGTATGTGGAGCTATTGATGTGTGCCTCTGTGAAAGGATATGGCGAGACATTTATGGTGGCATTTGCATTTAGAGCAGTGTGCATTTTTCGAATATTGGCCGTTCCAGGGACCATCAATTATTACCCGCTGCCACTGCTGTGACGTCTTTGTATTGGTCACCGGGTAGCGCGGTCGATGCGAAAAATAAAGACACACCTACCTATTGTCTTGCCAACACCTGGCGTGGAGGGATACAGGGTAACAACTCCATGGCATGCCACAACACCATCATGTGCAAGTGATCAATCAATGATCATTCAGGACGCCTGTAGACCCAAAAGGGTTAATGTAAAGAGAGGGCCGCGCCAAGATAGCTGAACGTGCTGTCTGCAGGCAAGTGTGCGTGTATACAATGCGTGTCGAAAAAATATTCATACACGCATGGGGATGTCTGTTCCCGCCAACTTCCCGGCTTCGGTCCGGTGTTGGAAGCATTGCATCCGGCTTCCTTCGAACGTTCCACATTTCACTCGTGGCTCCGTTACAAGAGGGCGGTGTAACAATGGCTCTCCACCTTCTTGTATCGGAGCCCCCGCTTATATCGGTATTAGAGGATGTCCTTTTGTATGAGGGTGCTCCATAGTAGGGTACCCTCCTAAGGAGGCAAAATGGGGAAATCTCGAGCAACGAAGGCACTTTGACTACGGCACAGCGTACCAGTATGCCGTGTACGTGCTTAGTGCGTAAAGTCGACCCCGCTTTAAGGACGCTCGCGTCAAGGGAACTCCCCGCTTAAAGGAAACTTGTTTTGCTTAGCGCGGCTCGTACATACACCCGCTTAAAGGTATGGTTCTCCAGCTGGAAAACAATTCCCAGAACCATACCTTACAAACCCTTTTTTTGATTGAACGGGTCGCACCGCGGCAGCAACACGACTGCATCCGCTTGATACCTATGGCAGCAGCAGCCGCGCACGCAAAACAGCAGCAGACAACCCACATGGACATGGACGATGTGGACGCCGTAGTTTGGAAATGTCGCAGTGTAGTCGAGGTACTTGATTTGCCAGGGCTAGGTACCGTATAGGACACAAGATAACACACCCCCTCGACCGATTTTGAAAGCTCGATTTATCAACAGCAGAAAGAGTCGCAGCGCCGAAAACGGGGGCGTTGAAGCTGTCTGGTCGAGAGCTCTCCAAAAATGTATCGTTTCGTTCTTGCATCCTCTTCGTCGTGGCGTAGTCGAGCTTTGACAATCGGTCCAGTGGGAGTGTTATCTTGTGTCGTATACGGTATTCGAGGACGTGTCCTAGTATGTTTTAGGGGGGAGAGCGTGGAGGTGCGGCGCGGATGTCATCCCAAATCGTCGCGGTTTATGTGTTTGGCCGCCGCATTATGGTTTGTGCAGCTGCTGTCTCCATATTGTGCGGACGGTCGACGTGAAGAAGAAAAGTTGGTTTGTATCATTTGATTCTTGGAGCATGATGACACCTGCCAACATGAACACGCGAATCCTTTAATAACCGGAGGGCTCCAGGGAACCGCATAAAATATCAACGGGCAAAGAACATGCACCATCACAACGCCGAATCAAGGCTGCAACTTAATTCCCATGCGTGGTCATGACAAAGGGACCAGCGGTACTCTCATCCAACGCGCGAAAAAATCTCGAAACATTACGGACACGGGGAAGAACAAAGTCCCCGCAGGGTCGAGAGACTCTTACCCCTCCACCCCTACCAAACAGCAATGGTTTTCCAAGCGAACCACCTTTCTCCTTGCTGCGGCAGGCCGGCTACCGAAGGAAATAATCCCAATTCGACACAACAGATGCTGTTGGCAGACTCCCAACACACACAACACACATGCACACGCGCGCGCAAACCAACGCGCGCCAACGGTAGCAAAGCGAATGCAACGCCGAGTAAGGCATCGGTAACACGCTTTACATTTCCCTGACGTGTCCTACAGGTAGACGGTCTCCTTCACTACGGCGCACTACAACTGTTGAATCGTTTTTACTCGGCCCCGTTTGCTTCTTACGGTGCGGTGGTTGCAGACGCTCCAACTGAACAAGGTGGGCGGTCGTCTGGAACGGTGGCGAAGCCTGCCCCCCCCCGAGACGAGAACGTCGACGTTGTCCAGGGAACGAAACGGCAACGCCAAGCCCTCGGACGTGTGCGCCCCGTTCACGGGTGTCGCCTGGAAGCCGATAGGCGCGGCGCCGGTGGTGCCCGATCCTGCCGGAGGGTGGGATGCTCGGCGAACCCCCGTGGTACTGCTCGGCGTACCCGTAGCGAAACCAGCAGAGTTTCCGCCCCCCCCTGCGCGCCCGTGGCCTGTCCCTCCGCCCCTGCCACCGCTTCGCCGGCCGGCGTTTCTACCGCCACCACTTCCCTGGCCGCTGCTTCCAGGGCCACCCTTTCCCCCTGCCCGTCCCCTTCCGGTCGACCCCTTTCCCCCCCGGCCACGCCACCCCCGACCCGGGTACCCGGCGTCTCCCTGCGGCAGGGCAGGGGTGGGCCGGGGGAGTTCCCGTGAACACCCGGCTCGTTGACTCGTCTCGTAGCGACCGCTTCTCCACCTCGATTTGTTGCTTGGTGCAATGCTTCATGGACTCCACCAAACGTTGGATGCTCGCCACAGATACCTCTTTGAACATACCACCCAGCTCCTTCCCTAAGGTGACGCCGTTGGCATACGCGTAGGCAGACAAGTTGGTTCCGGATTGGGACGACACGATCGGATTGGGGTCGACGGGCAGCATCTGTCCGGGAGGCCCCGCAGGTCCCGTCAGCCCCGCAGCTCCGATCGATGCTTGGCAGGCTTAGCGGCCATCGCTGCCATCGTTCATGGCGTCTCACTGTCACGCCACCTTGGTGAAATAGTTGCTCCGCTGAATTGGGAGGCACGCTAGTACCACAAGGCCTTGATGGCGTGCGGGCAAAGTAGCCCGTAGACAAGCTGCCGCAGGCACTTGCAGAGGAAGAAGCCGTCCGGTCCAAGGGCGACGAGGTGACAGCGCCCGGACGCCGTGGAGATCGGCGTGATGCGCACCACCGTGTGACATTCTGGTCACGAAGTAACTCCGCGAAGTGAGGCACGGATGTGCGGGACACCATGGAGAAACCAGCGGCGTCGGACGTCGGTATTGAAGGGTCCACCAACTCTCCGGAGCCGGTGTCGTACGTGAGGTTCGCCTTCGTCGGGTCTGCCACCAACTCCTCGAACAGTCTCCGCGCCGCCTCTTCGCCACGCACGACAGGTTTCGCCTCGTAATGGAGAGCCCCGAGGATCTGTGCTTCAGTGTCCCGCCAACACGGCATACCTACGAGTGAGGGCGGTGTGCGACAGGGGGG